AGGAAAGTTGTTCGATATCAAAAATCGCGTGCTGCAGAAATTCTGTTAGCTAGCGATTTTTCAAGTATGTATGATCAGTAGTTGTGCCATTAATAGATGAAAACAAAATGGCATCATTTTCGAGAGTGATATATGTTACAAGAAACATAGTTTTTGTAATCTTGAAATTTGTATTGGCCAATAGATAGTTTGTCGAATAGTCGAGCGTATGATTCAGTTTGATGTTTTGAATGAAAGAGTTCTGTTTGCACCAGTAACAATGCGTTGTAACTCATTGAGATTTGCCATGACTTCATCGATTCGGATTGATTCAGCAAATGGGGGATCAAGAAGTTGCTTGCTTTTAAGTCGATCTTTAAACAGAATCAATGTAGCCACATAAGATGGAAGATGAGTGAGCTGAAGAACAATTCCAACTACGATTGTTCTTTTGGTACATTTCTTCATTTGTATCAGAATAGTATCACAGTTGGATGATATCCTACTCATTGATCTTCAATCGATTACAAACTCAGACAGAAGGCGAGACAAGATTATCTATCGAGGTAATAAGCTTTGAAAGTTGATATTTGTAGAGAAGATTAGAAAGAATGAAATCGTTCCTGTTGTTTTGAGCATTTTCTCTTGTTGTTAACCGTCATTTTGACTCATATTGACTTTTTTCTTTATCAACCTCATGTGATAATGTTCTTGGGTATAATTGTTGTGTCAGTGATATGGCTCAAAATTGTGGGTTTGAAATGTAAATCAATAAAACTGAATTATCCGATATTCAGATCAATACTAGTTGAATAACAGAACGCATATCATAATATCCTTTACGAAATGTCCCCGACTTTTCGTCTTTGAAAAAATGTCTTTCGAAGTAAATCTACCTGAGAAATGATCCTCCGAAAAAAATGTCCTTCCAGTAAAATATGAACAGCACTTGATGATATTGTTAACAATGTAATCTAATTTATTATTACGGATTGTGTTTTATTTTATTTTTCAATCGTAAAAACAAGAAAGCGCACTTAATAATTCTTGCGCTGTAATTTGATTACTGTTGAACTGATCATATAAATTTTTAATCCGTTGTTCAGTAACTCTGGACCCGCACCTTTCCGCACCAACCCTCATGCTACTAGTTATTTGAAGAATCAACTCATAGACAATGTTGGGGTATGAATGTGGAGTGTGCGTGCGTATCTTCGCTTCAGCCATACCCACAACCACACCCTGTTCCAGTGATAGACTACTCGTGGAAATTCCGATAATGTATCTAAAATTTGGAGCTTTCCATAATTCTATGTCCTATTCTCATATTATGAATGGCCACTTTTACTTCTGAATCCCATTTTTTACGAGCTTTCATTTGGCATAAAGTTCATTGATTATGCTGTTTGAAATCACAGCGATACCCCTCCAAAATAATTTTATTTCCAACCAAGTATATAATCATCATTTAGCAATAGAGAGTAGCTTATTATTTCAACTCTTATCCTAGGTCTTCACTATTTTTTTCAGGTTTCAACTATTCCTTTGTTTTCTAAATATATCCAAAGATAGAAACTCAAAAGCTATGGAACACTTCGACAAGCTTCCTTCGCAGAAGCAAACTAGTGGACAATGTCGAAATCATGATGAAACGGCTTCGGCATTCAAAAACAGATCGTCTGATTATGAGAGAGATCGATGAAATGCAAGTGTAAGACAGTCATGTATTGTCTAGTATTCGCTCATTAATTTATTGATCATAAAACTCATAGCTGTACTTTATAGAACAAATCCGTTTAGGTCTGAACTAAACGACGTGATTTGATTAATATTGTGAGACTGTTAGAAGACATTCTCACTTAAAAATGAACATGGAATATAGTGTGCACAAACATATCCATTTTCGAAAAAGACCATTAAAAGTCATTTTAGCGCATTCCAGTAAACAACGCAAACTATTTTTTTGAATATTTGAATATAATCTGCTTGTAAAACACTCAAAACTACTTTGGTTCAATATAAATCGACTCTACGTCCAAATAGTACGAGCAGTAAACATTATAGGTGAACGTGTTTGTAGAACGAAAGTGGTTATCTATAGCTCTATATTTCCTCAATAACGTTGTATTTGGATCATTCCAATGTAGAACATTTTTATTCCATGGGAATTTTTCATCTCTCCCAAATCTATTCCAGTATCCATGCAACCACACGTCATGACTGTTGTGAGGAAATTGATAAAGTATTTTTAGTGCCTTAGCGAGGTCATAGCGAATATAAATTAAATTATTCCAATCATAGATTCCTAAGAGAACGTATCCTAATTCATAAGAAAGCAAGCGTGTCCATGCTGTTATGCTGGCTCCATACAAATGATCGCGTTTATACGCGTAGGGAACGCGATAACGTGTGTAAAATTTTATAGGAGGTGGTACCTTTTCGTTCATTTCGACCATAACGAATGCTGGTTCGAATTGAGTGCGACAGTTATTTGATCGATCAATAAACAATGTTCGAACAACTGGATAATCATAACCATCAATATCCATTTTCAAGAGAAGAGGTCTATGTGGTACTCGATTGTCTCTAAACAATTGTTGTATTGTATGTGGTTCCAAGGCTTGATTCACTTTAACAATGTTGCTCGCCGGTAGGTTGACTTTTAATTTTGCATAAAGCTGTTCTTGAAACTCAATTGCGATGCCTGGATATTTACGTTTCTTAAATATCGAATATAATGGATCCAATGAACGTCCGTCGTTTGCACCACCATTGATTAAATATCGTGTTTCTGTCTGGATGTAATCTTTGTATGTATCAATTAAACTAAATAGTTCTGATAAAGTGTAGTCCGTATAGCTATTGCTAGAACGATTGGAACATTGATTTTTGAACCATTCACCGAAAGATCGACATAATGGTTTTGGTACTCGAGCATAGTCAGGTGCCCATGACGAGTCCACAGGATAATCAAACTGATACGGTAACTTGTGCAATGATTCGTGAATAAACTGAGGTCTGGAATTAATGCTTCTCTGAGTGAACCCTGGGAACGATTCATAGTCGAAGCATATATTTCCTATTGTGTACATAAAAAAAGTCCCAATAAATATACCAATCACTATTGGACAATAACATTTTAGTAGAAACCAAAATCTCATTTTCCTCAGATTTGAATGCCCAATTTGTATTGAACAATACTAAACAGCAAAGATGTTTATAGTCGATAATCTATATATTTGATCGATTTCTTTTATGTTCCACGAGAAAAGATTCCTAGATGAGAAATAGCTGTTGTTCCCGAGGATCAACCAACACTCAATATGAGTTATCGACTGAACAATCGACTTTATTATTCAGAAATCTTAATAAAAAGTTTCATTAACAGTTTTTCGAATCTAAACTATGAGACCGTCTGGTCCTATATAGACGCAGCTGGTTGGTTAGCAATGGTGAGTTAAAAATAGGTTTTTTTGAGAAAGTAGCATCTATTAGGATTTCACAAAAGATTCGAATTCATTATAACTCCAGATGATATTGCTAGTCCCGATCTACTATTTCTATAAAACTTCTCATTCATCACATACTCCAGTTTCCACATATGACGCGATTCTCACTAGTCATTTAACTGTGTGACAGCTCTCTAATACTAACAGATTTATAGAATATGAATTCAAAATACTATGCTTGTAATACATATTAGGAGTAGACTTGGAATAGCTAAAAACTTCTAGAAGATAGCTTTGATATACCTTTAGAGTGCGGTGAAGTACAGAATTTCCTCCTTAGTAGAACGTTATTAGAAGAAAAATGTATTGAGACTGAATGATTTTAGAGTGTCTTTCTCTATACTTAGTGAGATTACTGTATAAATATTACTCAGAATAACCTTTAGTGTATTTTATCGATACCGCTGCACTGATAAAAAATATATCAACGCATTTCGTTGACATTGCTTGATATTTTATTACCTCGGACGTCCATTACAAGAGATAGGTATGGGTCAACTGAACATTCACACTCACACTCTGATAAATGCCTTCGGAACCGATGTATCCTAAGTAAATAGTAATGCACGAAAATCATTACCATAACTCCGTTATAGTTTACCCAGGACAAGTACAAGAACAACAATGGACTTCATAGTTTACTGTATGTCAGAAAAATCTGAATGAATACGAATAAAAGGATATTGTCATAATCAAAATCTTCAAAAATTTTATCACTACAATGAGAGACGTCAATAACAGTCTTTACGATTTACTTACAGCCTTGACTTATTGAAGTTACTCATTCTGCGAGTGCTCTTTGCCATTCCTATTTGCTCATCATATGCTGCATCTGATAAGAAAGTCAATAAATGCATCTCAAGCACTTTCAAGCGCAAAGAAAAGTACATAAATACACAACTTCTACAGCTCATAAAGCGATACTACGTATCTACATTACTTCAATTTCAGAAATATTCTATGATACGTTTTATACATAACTGCAGT